TTAGCATATTTGCATCTAGATGTTAACTCTATAGGTAACTCAAAACTGTTGTGATTATAAATTTTGAGTTATTATGAAAACTCAAAAATCAACGAAAGTATTCTAATATTCACACTAGTTGTTTATGATTTCATTAGACTTTTTTAAGTTATTATTTTATGCTAAAAAATTAGAATAAAAGTCTATTGTTAAGTATTATTATAATGTTACAAAATTTTTATGTATGTTATTAATTGAATGTAGTTTGTATATTTTGGATATTTTGTTCTAATAAATATTTGATTACATTGATTTTATTTTTCATGATGCATGCAAATTAAATGCTAACCTACATATGCACTAATTGAACAATCTATGGAGTTTGCAAAATATGATTGAGCAAAACATCTTAACATGGTGCAAGAAAGGATGCAATGGAATGAGGATTGTTGATCGACTTGATAAAATATTTGCAAGAGTTTAATCGTTATTAGGAGTATTATTCTCTTTGAATGTTGGCTATATTTTCTATATTTTGAACAATATGTATGGTTGAATGTTTGGTAAACAATATTTATGGTTTGAAGGTTTGAAGATTGGTGAAAGTTTAATAAAAATATATTATGGTTGGACATAGTTATATATTAAAGAATAATACATGTAATGTTATAGTTTATGTCATGTAATGAAGTAATATCTTTCACATATTAGACGAGTTTAAAATTAAAGATTTTACATATAATATTCTATTAGAATAATAATTTATGTTTTATGTTATATTAAGTATATGTATAATACTCTAATAGAATAATGTTATGTGTTGTTTGTATCATAAAATTGATGTTTTTGTCTTGTTTAGAATTTACGTCATAAGTCAAGCTAAATTTTATAAGTAGAGTGTATGATGTTTAAAATCATTAGAATGTTGCAGTTTATGATGTATGATGTTGATAATATAATAAAATAATATTTATGTTTTTTGTTAAATAAGTTAATTTATCTACATGAAAATATTGTGTATATATAGAATATTCTAATACAATAATGTTATATGTTGTATGCTTTCGAATAATGTTGTAGGTTTTCGATTGAATAAGTTGATTTATTACATGAAAACAATATGTATATATAGAATATTCTAATAAAATAATGTTATATGTTGTATGGTTTCATAATCTATATGTAGTATATTTTATTCTATGTTGTATGTTTTCATAATCTATATGTAGAATTTTTCAATAGAATAATGGTCTATCAATTTCTAAGTTATAAGTTGAATATTCTAATACAATGATGCATAATTAAATTTAGGTTTTTTTAATACTCATTGGTATGATATTATTCTATATATTCTAACCATTTAATAACTAATATTATGTTGTTAATATGTAATATTATGAAATTATGTTGTAATATGTACAATTAACTTACAATATTTAAGATTCTAATATTATATGTAATATTATGATATCATTATGTAATATTTTGAATTTACAATTTATAGTGTTACAAGAATATATACAATAATCTATAGGAATCCAAAATAAGTTATATGTAAAAGATTCTAATAGAGTAATGTTCTAGTTAAATACATTGACATATTTGAATTATATTCATTAGTAGTGATATATACCAACGTTATTTATTCTGAATATAGAATAATAGAATCATATTCTAACTTACAAATCTTGTCATTGATATACATTAGTGTTACATGGTATCATATATAAGTAAAAATAACGTTTATAGAATTCTTCTCTTAAAATTAAAATTATAATATTACAAAAAAACTTAGTATCATAACAGTAGTGATTATTTCAACAACAAAAAACAAACTTGAATAAAAATAAGACATTATTACAAAGTGATTAAAACTTAACATGGATTATGATTTACAAAAGTATATCCATAACATTTTTGTTATAAAGAACTCTTTGTACAAAACTATAGTAACCCTCATTACATAATTTCAATATATTACACAATCATACCACAGTATTACACATGATTTTAGAATATTAAACACTAACATAATAATATTAGACGTGTAATATGACAAAGTTAGACATGTAAAAACACAATATATAATATATATTGAATCAAACTAGTTGATTATTTCAACAAAAAAAATCAAACTAGAATATTCGGAATCCAAACAAAAGAACCATTAGTTGAAATGAATTCAGTGCTTGAATAAGATTCTTCTTCAACACCATTAATTTGAGCTGCAAAAATAAATACCCAAGTAATATTTATCATTGTATAATGATTTACAAATTATATTCTAAACTACAAATAGGAGAAAAATGAAATGACATATAGGTAATGGTTTTCAATTATTATAATCAAAATAATGTACTATGTAAAGTAATAACAATATGTTGAATTATGTTTTGATCATGATAATTTGCATTCTTTTGAAATTAACCGTGAAACACATAATGTTAAGAGCTTGTATTCTTACAAATTATAATTTTTGTGAACTAAAAAAATTAAAGTATGGTTAATATTCTGGAATTGTATCTATTTAGGCCATCATATTATCTGGAATATCCGGAATCCAAATTAAATCACTATATATCTCTCCATATAGAATATTCCAAATCCAAACTAAATAACCATTAGCTAAAATGAGGTCATTGATAAAGTGACATTCTTTAGCACCATCAATAATTTAACCTACAAAAAAGTATTTCGTTAATATTTATTATTGTATAAATATTCACAAAAATATATTCTAAAAGGAATTTTTTTGAATATGTAAGTACGTATTAGTAATGCTTTTCAAGTTATTCAAATCAGAATAATATACTATATACTATGTGATGTAGTAAAAATGTGATGAAATAGGACCAAGTACCTCTTCTGATTCATGCTAAATTGGTTGAAATGCATCTTTTACTTCACATGCTATTGACAAGGAGGATAGTGACTAACATAAACCTTTTAGTAAGATAAACAAAATAAAAAACCAATGAGGAAATATGTTCAAAGCTTCAAGCATCAACATGCTCTGAGATTTGTCATGCTCACACCAATCTTTCAAACATGCACCATTTAGTGTACTTGTCTTAATATGATGAAAAAATAATAATATTTTTATCAACCAGAATATGATTTGATCATTTAGATGCAAACCAAAGGAAAAGAAATTTTTGATAAGTAACTATATTCATTTCAAGGTTAGTGAATGTGCATGATTACGTGACTTTATGTGACAATGCTCTTTATGGTGCTTATCTTCAACATATATATATATATATATGTGAAGTTCACACTTTAGAGCCATAAATTTGCTACCAAATAGCAATTAATTAGGAACATGTCTAGAGTTTAAAGGTATTAGATCTTAAGTTATGATTCTTCTCTTAGGCATTTCATCAAACAGTTGGCGTATCAAATAATTACTTAATCTAATTCTCCCATCATCAAACAGATGACACATCAATTGCTACTGATGATGAGTTGTTGAATTCACTTTTCTCAAAGTAAAATTCAAAACTTGAAACTGTTCGATATCGATCTAAATTAATGATTAATTGGAGATGATGACAACTTGCCTAAAAATTTATGGCTCTAATAGAAAAATTGATGAAGTGAAAATAAAAATCCTTACTTACAAACCTCCTGTAATAGGAAAATTGATGATCAAATTGAAGAAAACAAATCCCTGCTGATAGTCCTTCTGTAATAGAGAAATTGTTCCATTTTGATGATGAATTGTAAAAAATCGATCCTTATTAATCCTTTTGTAGTTTGCGATTTGTGATTGAAACAATTCCAGAAAATGATTGCTGATCAATTGTAAATCTATGAAAAAATGAAAACTTACTGATCGATTGTTGCAATCACAGCGGATTAATGAACCAAATTGTCTAAAAAAAATTGAATTACATCTTCTAAACTTCATAATCGATGTCATTCTCTGATCAAACGATGAAAAAATATTAGAGATCTGCTTTCAATTTCATCTTCTACTTACGCAATCACGATTAAGGAGGGTGTAAGTTAGGGTATATTTTTCCAAATTAGAAAATAGACTAAACCGTCCCTTTACAATTAATTACTTTCCTTAATCATGCTTTTGTAATTAATTACCTTCCTTAATCAGCATTTTTCTGGACCACATGATCAAAGTTGATCAATGGACAAAAGTTGGTCCCATTGTCTCACAAAAATACATTGGTTTCAAATGAACCTCTACCTCTATATATATATATATATATATATATATATATATATATATATATATATAATAATAATAATAATAATATTAATAATTGAAAAGATTGCTTGTAGTATAATAATTGTTGTTTATGAGAATAATTAGATAATGATGTCATATATATATATATATATATATATATATATATATATATATATATATATATATATGTTGTGTGTGTGGTGTGTGTGTGTGTGTGTGTGTGTGTGTGTGTGTGTGTGTGTGTGTGTGTGTGTGTGTGTGTGTGTGTGAATATATGGCTGTCATGTATGCAAGATTAGGTATAGAACTTCCAATACTACGTCGTTTTTGAGTTAAACTACGTATTTTATATACAAATTTTGGGCTTTAAATAATGTATTTACTACTTCTACTCTCGGTTATCTTAAGTTCTCATTCTTTTATTTGATTTACATCTTAATTTTTTTTTCCGTTTATTACTCTAAGTTTGTTCATTTATTTGTAATTGCTTGTTCAATCTATTTCCTAATTTTCATAGCTATTCTACTGGTCAAAAATATCAATGCTAGATGAATATTAATAGCAAAACAAAAAAAATATAAATCTCATATAGACAATTGAAATCCATGCACTAACGGTTGACAGTAGAGATTAATTTCATTCTAATTTGGTCGAAATGAACTAAAAGTATCCATGTTATGTTTGAGAAATATGACCTAAATTAAGAAAGCGACATTTTAGTCAACATTACTTTTGTACAGCATAGGTTTCATCAAATGTTTCATTTCACCATACTTGAAAAATACTTTTCATATTTCCCTTCTTCCTTCCTCCGATGACACCAACCACTGCCGCCCCTACCACCGGCAAACAACGTTACTCCAGCGACTTTCCACCACTAGCACCACCTCTTCTGTTCACTTCGGCTACCGTCTCCTCTGTTCACTTCTGCTACCGTCATCTCCGATCTCCGATGAACCACCAAGGTCTGCATAAGATGCATAAGATCTGACTTGATTTACATCAGATTTCATCAGATCTACAAGAAATCTCACCTGATCTACATCAGACCGTGATCTCGAAACCGCAACCACGAATCAGATCTAGATCTAGAAATCACCACCACTAAAAACGACGACTGATGCCTATGAGGAACTGAAACCAACCACCGTTGGCCCACCGTCACCACTTCTCTCCTTCGTTGCCTTTTCCAGCGACATCACTTTTTTCAATGAAGCACCTGGACAGTGTTCCTTCCGCTACCTCCCGTTCCAAAACCTTAGGTGAAACCCTAGACATGCAACTCCAGCAACGAGGCTCTTAGATCTGAAGTGGTATGGTCCAGATCTATGATCTCCGGTGACAAATAATAATTTTCGACTTTAGATCTTTGATTTACACCTCCAGATTTACGAGCTCTGACGATATTGCCAGACCAGATCATAGAGCACCGCTAACCGCCACCGTCGCTGCTGCCTTGCGCTCCGGTGAAACACCGACAACTCGTCTCAATCTCTCTCTCTCTCTGATTTCCAGTAAAACACCACCATATATGTATCAGGTATGTTGACTTTTGCTTTGATTGTTTTCTCTTCTATTAAGTTGTAAATGTAATGTTTAAATCTCTTATTTATTCGTTTACTTTTGTTAATAATGCTGTGAATTCATACTTTAGAAAAATATAAGACAAGATCTGTAAAAAATGAAAAACAAATAAAAAAAGCATGTGAGACATTTTTTCACATCTCTCAAACCACTTTGCTGTACAAAAAAACTCACTCCATAAAAATGAAATATAGAATATCAATTCAATTTTTCTTTGATAAGGTCGTAAAATGTAAAGAAAAAGAAGAGAAACTCTCTTCCCAATACATCAATACTTGTTTTTTTTATTTTATTTTAAATTTAAAAAAATTAAATTTGTACGGTTAAAACATATTGGTATAGATTTTTTGAATATAACAATAAAAGGTAAACTATTTTAACGGGTGAAAAATGTTTTAATCTTTGAAGCTAATTGGATATTTTATATTGACATTTTTAATATTCAGAGGTATTTTAATTGTGATACTTTGTCAACATACTCAACATATTATAAAACTCGTTATACATATAACTATGAAACTAATATAATATAAGAAACTTTTTGGTATAAGCGAAAATTAAATTTTCAAGTCTTTAACTAGTAAACAAAAGTAGATTATCTAATAAGTTGTATTTAATTTAATTTTGTCATTATATATATAAACAAATGTCCACCTAATAATAAGTTTTTTTTTTAAATATTCAATATAATTTGTAAAAATTCAAAGAAAAACACTTATCTAATCTACAAATTATTTAACTCAGTCTTTGCTTCAACCCCTAACCACGGTGGTTATGCTTCGTCCCTGACTTTTGGTGTATTAAACTTTGATTTTTTTTTCTATTATGCTGTGAATTTTGTGTATTAAGCCGTGATTTTTGTTTTTTAAACTGTGAATTGACTGCATTAAGCTGATGATTTTTTGTTTAAATTATGAATTTACTATATTAAGTTGTGTATTTTTTTATATTAAACTATGAATTTGTTTTATTGAGCTGTGAATTTTGTGTATTAAACTGTGAATTGACTGTGTTAAGATGGTCAAGTTGATAATACGGATGTGAATGCATACTTTTTATCAAGGTTGTAAAAACCGTTCGACGTTAGCTAGTCGGTGGACTTGGGTCAAGCGATTAATCGGCCAGGCGGAGATTAATCGGGGACCATTAATTGCTAATTTGTTGAATTTTAAAAAATTAAATATGACTAATATCATATCAAAGTTCGTAAATACCACTAATATGATAACAAAATAGGTTAATATGATTAATACAACACTAATCATGCCTCAAATAGTTTCCATTGAAATAAAACTTCTTCAAAATGTTAAAATTTCATCGTTTTATAATGTTTCACTCATTATGTATGTATGGATTAATCGCTAGGCGCCCTCTAATCGGTCGAGTAACGCCTAGGGATTAATCAGAGATTAATCGGGACCTAGTCGGGATTTTTACAACAGTGCTTTTTATGAATTAAACTGTGAGGTTATTGTATTAAGTTGTCATTTTTGTGTTTTAAATTGTGAATCGATTGTATTAAAATGTGAACTTTCTGTTTAAATTGGGAATTGAATATATATTAACCTGTGAAATTTGTTTATTAAACTGTGAATTGGCTGTATTAAGCTGTGAATTGACTGATATTAAGATGTGATTTTTTTTATAAATTTTTTGTTTGCTTCTGAAATATAAGATGAAAGAAACATTATACATAGATATGATTTTTATCTAAATTTGAATAAAGTATGTGAAATTTAAATTGTGATATTGTGTAAAAAAAACTATGAAAAAAGCACTAGCTTCCATATTTGAACGTATAAATGCAAGTTTTAAATTGCGAATATGGATATGAATTTATAATTTTTGTGTGTTAAATTATGAATTTATTATATTACACTGTCAATTTTGTGTATTGAACTGTGAATTGACTGTATTAAATTGTGAATTGATTGTATTAAGCTGTTTTTATAAATTTTGTGTTAAATATGAATGATTTATGTATGATTTTTTGTATTAATTTTTTTGTGAATATATTTATTTTTTGTGTTGTATAAATATGTAAGAATGTACTAGTTTTTAAAAATATTTTGCATTAAACTCTGAATAAGTGAATTAATTGGTTTATTAAATTGTGAATATAATATTTAAGCTGTTAATTAATGATTTTTATACAAATGTTTAATTTGGAAGGAATGATGATTATGACCGTGACACTAGTATTTGGTGGTGGCTTGTTGTAGTTGTTGGGGATGGTTGTTTAGTTTGGGTTTGACTTCTTTAAATATGTGAATTAATAATGAATTGTATTATATTGTGAATTTTATGTATTAAACTAAAAATTGACAGTTTCAAGTTGTATATATATAAATTTTGTATATATTGCTAAAAAAAATATAATGATATTTGTTAAAAAGTATTACGAAAGAAATGAGAACTATAATTTTTGTTATATTAAGTTGTGAATACGACCAGAAAAATGCCACTGAATTTGATGTTAGTCTGATGACAGTTCGACAGTGGTTCGACGATGGTCCGACATGCAGTCAAACGACAAGTGACAACTAGTTGGAAAGTTGGGAATGTAGAATGTGCTTAATATAATATTAATTTTTGATTTGTCCAAAATGACCTTAATAAAAAAATGGTTCTTACAGTTCTTAACATTTTGTGGTTCTCATTTGAACCTCTCCATTATAATATATATCTATATTATATATATATATTATATAATCTATTGATATAATATATATTATATATATAGGCCTAGTTATTCTATTCAAACTATTATTATGTTATTGTAGACATAATATGGGCCAATCATTTTACTATTTTAAGAAAGATTAATCATATTATTGATTAAAAATATCGAAAAAACCATCTAATTAACTAGAAGGGTATTTTAGTCAATTACATAAATTTAATAAAGGAAGTTTGCATATTTTAAGGGATCATAGATTCTATAATTTTAAAAATCTGATTTTACGAATTATTAGGTTTTTAATTCGGACATTCTGACAGACCATGTTGGAATATATTCAAAAAGTAAAAAAAATTCTTGAACCATAAAATAAAAATATTCTTGAACATATTTTTTCTTGTAGAATAACAAATTCTCGAACCAACATTGAGAATTAAAACAAAAATTATATTAATCTTATAGAATACATGTAACATTGCTAAGAATTACATTATTGTTATAGAATAAAACTAAAAAACTTTCAAATGGGAAAAAATAAATCTAAACAAATACACTAATTATCTAAAAGAATAATGTTGCTAAGAGGCGTCGTTCAAATTTCGTGGTCCGTTCTTCAAGCATCAACTTCTGTGGAAACAAATCCAATGAATAAATTAGTGAGAAAAAATCTATATTCCATTCCAGCATAATTGGAATTCGTGATCCATTCTGATAGAATTGGAATTCATTTACCAATAATTATATTAAATCGGGGCATCTAACAAATATGTTCATGATTATCATAAAAAACATTCTTTTCTGATAGAATACTATAACGAAGAAATATCATTCAGTTGAAGCATTTTAGCGTGCGCTTGGTGTGCATCAAAACAACTTTTAATTTCGGATGAACAACATACATAAATTGTTCATACCACACCACCCCCAAATCACTACTATTAAGAAGCAGAAGTTGACGCAGCTTGGGGCTGCTAAAATAAAAAAAAACTAATTTCTTCCTTCTTCATTGATTTCCTGTGAATCAACAAACCCAAATTCCCTTCATTTTGATTTATTTCCCAGCAAACCCAAACACCCTAACGATTTCTATCAAACAAACAAACAAAATCCAAAAAGAAATCTTTACCTGTGGTTGATTTGGAACTGCCAAAACAAGGAAACATCGTGATCTTCGAGCAAACACCACCGAGGTCCCTCACCTGCGACACTTTTGGTCCCTGATTTCGTTGGTTCATAGTGAGATCGTTCGTATCATGAGATACACAAATTTGATTTTGACTTTTGCTTGACTGGCACTTCAATTCCGAAAATGTCCATTCTCGTGAGAAACAGTTCCGAAATTAACTTCATATCCCTCATTTCCGATTGCCAAATCGTTTATTACCATAAGAACGGTTCAGATTTTGACCACTTATTTCCTTAGTTCCGATGAATATCCAATCTAATTCTGATTCGTACCATTTATCAACACGATTCCGATTTAAGCAGCTAAACACTTTTTACTTGATATCAATATTCAGAAAAGAGACATCCAATTTAAGTTCCGATTCAAATACTTGAAAAACACCAAATTGATTTACACAAATCAATTTCCAGATAAAAAAAAATGATTCCCGAAAACAAAAATTATCACAACCATACAATCGATTGACCAAAGCGATGAAGAACAAATCAAACAACTTGGATTCGATTGTCTGAACATGAACAAAACTTGATTTTGACTATTGATAATAACATTTTGGAATCAAGTCAATGAATAGAAGATGCGACAAGCAAAGAGAACAGGAAAGGAAAACATTTACCATTGAGGTCAACGAAAATTGATGTGCACGGAAACATATCACGATGGACGATTTGGATTCTTTGAATCGGATGAACATGTAGCGTAACATCGGTTGGAATAATCGATTTTCAGATCAAATAAAAAATTGAACAGTAGGATCGACACAATAAAACTTACTTTGAACATAGATTTATTGAATCAAAAGACTTTTGTCTGAAAACCAATTCAGATCCAAAAAAAAACAAAAAATACCACGATGACAACAGAAGAATATCATAATCTTCATGAACAGTCAATCGTTACCATAATTATAGGATATTA